ACAATTGATTGAATTTTTCAACGCCGTACACAATGCATAAAGCTTCCTTTTCTATTTGCGCACAATTTTTCTCTTCTTTCGTCAACGGACGAGAGACATAAGCGATAAATTTCTCGGTACCATCTTCATATTTATGATATATTACTGCTCCTAGTCCGTAATCGTCATCTGTCGCTAGCACTATCGGCACTTCCGGATTATAATGCGCCAGTATATCGGTTTCAGTGAGCCTGGCCTTTACTTTGTCAAACGCCCTTTGGCGTTCAGAATCCCAGCACCATTCAGTTCCTTTCCTTCCTTTCCTCCTTCCTTAGCGTGGCTGCTAATGTTGCTAAATTGGGCACAAATTTGCCATAATATTGAACCATACCCAAAGAGAATTCTAGTTCTTTGATATTTCTTGGTGCGAGCATCCTTACAATTGCCTCTATTTTCCGCGGTGATGGACGTATCCCTTGGGTGGCCACAAGATGGCCCAAAAACTCCATCTTGGTTTTTAAGAATTCACACTTATTTCGTTTCAGACGAAACTCTGCTGATTTTAGCCTCTGTAATGCCTGTTCGAGCCTGTTGAGGTGAGTCGTATCATCCGGTCCCGTCACCGCGATGTCGTATGAATAGATTACGACCCCCTCAATTCCAGCCAATGTAGTTTCCATTATTTTTTGAAAAATCGCTGGAGCGGATGCTATTCCAAAAGCTATCCTGTTGTACTCAAACAACCCTTTCTGTGTATTAGGTTGTAAGGAAAGTTCTAGCCGTTTCGTCAGCTATTTTTCAAAAGGTTATAACTCATCTTAAAGTGAACATTTTCATTCATAGTAAGCCCCATTCGATTCTACACATGTTTGCCAACGTGATACAAGTCTGTCTATTCCATTCCTGTGAATGTCCGGAGATCTGGACTCCAAAAACTCGAGAAAGGCAGCTTCCGCGTCGCCTTGATTTTTGGGTACTCGTTCCCTTAAGAAGCTTTCCATATGTTTGAGTAAACGGTAGTCAGTTGGTGACAGGTCTGGTGAGTAGGGTGGATGAGGGAGAGTTTCGATTCGCAGCTCTTTCAACTTCTGGAAGACAATTCGTGACACATACGGTTGCGCATTGTCGTGTAAGAGCAGCAGACAGTGGCGACTGACTAGTGCTGGCTGCATTTGCCCCAGTTTCGTGTACTTCTTGTGAATTTGATCACAATATGACTATGCGGTGACAGTTTGACCTGGAGGGAGAAACGCGTAGTGGATTAATCCATGGTGGACCACCAAACTGTTATCATTGTCTATCACCACTATCACCATCACCATTGTCATTATCACCACTAAACTTGGTTTGGGAAGTTTTTTGAAGGCTCATCCACACCCACCCACTGAGCAGCTTCCTTTTATCATACGGGATCCATTTCTCAACACACGTTTTAATACGATGGAGAGAAGTCTCATCATCATTTCTTCTCAACAGCGAACTTGAAACTCCAAGCGATTCAGTTGTTGCTGCTCCGTGAAATCGTGTGGCACCCACTTGTCAAGCTTCTTCACTATTTCAAGCAGCTTGAGGTGGGCAGCGATGACTGTGTGAAGACGTCCATCTCCTTCTCAATCTCTTTCAAAGTTTGACGTCGATCTTCTTCGACTGCTCTTAGCAAAACATCGTGATCATTTAACGATGGTCGACTAACTCGTTCTTCGTCTTCCAGTGACCCGTCTCCACTTCCAAATTTCTGAAACCAGCGACGAACCGTTTGCTCCGATGCAGTGCCTTCTCCCCACACAACGTTGATGTTTGTGGCTGCATCCTTCGCAGTTCGACCAAGTTTGAACTCGTGAAGCAGAACCGTTCAAAAAGCAGTCTTATCCATTCTGCCAAAAAAACCTCCTGAAGATTCCAAAACCTTACAGACTTTGGGGAAAACGCTATGACAGAAAGAGCAACTAATGACTTATCTAAGGCACACAATATGCCGATTAGTCTGAATGGACATTAGCCAAAATATGAATTCATATGGCGCGTGCGTGAGAACGGCCAGAACTTTCCTTACAACCTAATATTTACTGTAGTATATTTCCTGGACTCCCTATCTAGCTCTATCTGCATGTACGGCTCCGACAAGTCCATTTTTGAGAACTTTTGTCCACCGTTTAACATGTGGAGCAAATCTTCTGGTTTTGGCAGCGGATATTGATTTGTATCTAATTGAGGATTAATTGTTATTTTGTAATCTCCGCCTATCCTGATTTTACCTCCAGGCTTAGGAACGACCACTGACGGAGTAGCCCACTCCGAGTGGTCCACCTGGATTAGTGTGCCATTATTTACTGATTCTTTTATTTTAACCTCTTCTTTTGGTCGGAGTGCTAAGCGTACCGATCGTGCTCTGAAAAACTTCGGTTGTGGTTCTGTTTTGAACTTGAGCGTAGCCTGTGTTATTATGCGCTTCCTTAGACCGGGCTTGAACAATGCTTTGTTTTCTTCTAGAATTCCGACGGCTGCGACGTGATCTAGCTTCGACGGACGCAATCAATGCTCACCCGGTGAAAATGGTGAGATGAGGTTTAATGATTCCTTACCCACAGCATTAATTTTGCAGTAACAATGGCCACGGTTCTGTTTGCAGAGAAAGCAGGATAGGAGGAGAATATGACGTATCAAATCAACGGTGAAATTGTCGTGGGGACACTCATCATCCACCACATTGAGCGCTGGAAAGCAGAAAGAGAGGGTAGCCGAATTCGCGGGCCCATGATGGTGCTTATGAACGATTCTTAGCATGAATAAAATTTTTTACCTAACCCTCAGAAGGAAGGGAGCACCAAGGTGGGCGAGTCAACTCAAGACTCAGTTCTTAATTCACCCTAGCTTTTTGCACGAGGCATTCATCTCACCCACCCCGGTGCTTTTCTTTCTGAGCCTTAGGTGAAAATGTTCCCTTGCTAAAAACCGTCTCTAAACATCGGTCAAGTGTTACTTCCCCTTTTCTGCGCTCTTGCGCTCAGTGTGTATAGTGGGTGAACAGAGAAATTGCCAGGTGAAAGACCCCGGCTAGTGGTAGAACCAGCAACATGAAGGGTCGCTAAAAGGTAAGAGAGCTCTAATGGTAAGTGCCTTTGGAAATGAGTCCGGTATCTTCTTCCCGAAAACGGCGTCGCGTTCGCCGCACCCGATCGCGCGCCTTGAAGGGAAAGGTTTGAATTCCCAGTGCAAGGATAAGGCAGCCGCCGCTTGATCTTTGCCGCTTGCCGTGGGAATTCAGGGAGAAGTTCCGGCACTCTCCGGAAATGGATGCTTTTGGACTTCAACAACGCGAAGGACGACTATCCATCCCACCGAGGGTCCGACGGTGCGTCCGCCCGGCCGACTGATCGACGGCCGCGCTAACCATTTGTTGACAACACTGGCACGTAATCCGTCGCCTTCCACCGGCTGCTTTCAGACCTCAACGATTCATCCGTCCGTCCGTTCAGCGCGTGCCGCGACGGCGGCGCCTGACCGTTGTCGACACACTGAATCACTTGCCAGCGCTGTCAACACTACTCTAGCGACCGCCGTCGCAGCACGCGCTGAACGGACGGACGGACGGTCGTCGAACTCTGAAAGTAGCCACCGCCGTCATCAAGTGTGCAGGGCGGCCGTCGGCCGATTGGTGGGTCGGACGCACGGACGGACGGACGGTCGTGGTTTGCTTCGTTGAAGTCTGAAAGCAGCCAATGCGCGCGCTGTAAAATAATTGCGCCAAGACCCAGAGAAAGCGTCAAAAACGCTCCACCCGCGGTCGACATAATCCTTGCAGATGTTCATTGGATGTACGCATGAGATCTTCACCTCTTTGAGAACTTAATGAAGTGTTGTGATCTTTGAGCTTTATCCAGCACTGTTGATTGTGAAAGAGCTTTACCAAGACCGAAAAAATGAGTTTGGGAATCACAATATTCGATCTTAGACGTGTTTTTCTCATGCCATAATTTACGATGGTCTCAACAGCCTTTGCGACTAATTCATCATATGAATATTTTACCAGAAATCAGCATGAAGTAGATGCGGACCTTACACGTGATGAGACGTCTGTCGTGTTCGCGTAGTTAAGAGCCTATGCTTTTTTACCATGACGATGTTTTGAAGAGATCTCATGTACGTTTGTCTAATATTTTGTAATATAGATAAACCTACTAAGCGTTAAACTCAAATCTATGAAAAGTATGCGGCACGGAGATTTCCTGACGCTTGTGCACTCACTGTAGTTACTGTGCAAGCCTGGATTTCATAAATTGAGTTGTGGAATTCCCTAACTGGTAGTGGACAACTCTTTTGCTCGTTTTTTTTTCAGTTCAACCACTATGCACTTGTTTAAATTAGTTCGATGCGACTTGCACGTGCTTACACGAAGTGGTGGTTTTTTCTAATTGTTTAACCCCTTTCACTCCCGGTTAACCATTTTTCATTATCACAGCTGGTGGTCAACCTGCTTTGTTGAAAAGGGGTACCATGAAAACTGAACAGAACCGTATATTCTGTTGTTCTCGTCTTGTAATGTTGTTCTGTGCGTTAAAAACGTAATGAGCTCAGGATTCATTCTTATCCCTAAGTTTGCAGCAATTAGAGTTGAACGTTGTCGACTCAACCAGTCTTCTCTTTTCAAAATGTCATGTCATGTCATCATGTCAAGCTTTTCGAAATACCTAAAGCACAGAAGAACGCTAAAAGACCAGAACGTCGAATGGAATACAGGCTAGCCTTCCCGACCGTTGTACCGTCGAAATACAAAACATACGTTCTGCCGTAGATATCGGAGGCAAGACCAACTCTGTGGCGCATTCCAAAATGCTTGGTTACCGCTACCCTTATCCTCGTGTGTTCTGCAAACTATGGACGAGAAAAGTGACCATTTGGTGATTTCTTTCGTCTCTTTGAATCCCATATGTCACAACAGCTTCACTTGCCGCTCGAAAAGCGCTTTTATGAACGGCACTGGAACAAATTTGGATCGTTAAGGATTTTCCGTTTTTTAGGGTATGGGGGAGTACGGATGTAATGTTTGCAACGAGGAGTATTCTGCATTGGACGAAAAGCGTACGCCCAGGGTGCTCACAGGTGTCTTCAATTCACAAAGCGCGAGCAGTTCCATCGAATACGCTCCAATCATTCAGGATGTGGACATACGATATGCCAGGGATGTGCTTTGTCAATCTTTAAACCAGGTGTATCGCATATTACCTGCCCCTTCGACAGGGTAACTACCCCTCTTGCTAGCGGTAAGCTCCTTTCGGTAGCTGAACAGAGAGACTTGAAGTGATTTTTTTCTTAGGAGATGTTCGGAGTCTCAAAAAAAATTTTGCTTTGTTGGAACTCATCGAGCGAATTCAACAAGCCAGTTCAGGACAGGTAACTTCTAGAAACAATTTTTTTTNTTTTTTTTGTTTATTTGGTTTTTGTTGATGCTTAGGTTATCTCTGTTGTAAATGCGAGATGTATCACTAATATATATCATTACGTCTGTATTTCTGCTGAAGTGCAAGCGGTTGCCTATGCATTCATTTATTACATCAGAGGAGCAGTATGATCAGAATTCAAGAGAATATGAACGTAGGATACCCAGTGCGGTTTCAACGAGTGGTCTTGATTTTGCGTTTCTTCAAAATGGTATGGAATTTTGTCAGTTTTGTTCTGTCTCCGAGAATCTCTCATCATTGGAAGGACATTTGCATCGAAATCATGTAACACAGGCGGATTTTGCTATTTCCATTGTGTCCGCACCAAGAATTTCTATGTGGATGCATTGGAAGATGTAGACAAGTGAAAACGTTTTGCAGGGAAAACGCATATTCCTAAGAATTCAAGGCTAATGTTTGTCTGAAACTTCAAGGTTAAGGTTCGTTGAAAAAAAGAGCAGGTGAACAGTTCACATTATAGGCATAGTGGAACTGAATGAAATGAGCACAGCGAGACTTCTTATCGTTTTACAAACTTAAACAAAACTCGCTGCGGTCAGCATAGTGAGACTTATTACATCTTAACCCTACATTTTTTGTTGAATCAGAATATTGGCTTCTCAACTGTTCGGCTGGTACAAAAGTGGCTAATTGGCAGGTCAACTACCCCATTCTTCAAGAACTGGAGGGACCAGGTGTCAAAGAAATCGCTGACTGCCTTTTCAGCATCTGCAAGTTTTGGTGTTTTCTTAGCTAGGAAGCCCTAGGGGGACGAAAGGGTTAGTCAGAGGGTGCAAGGTCAGAGAAATAGGGTGAAGGGGAACAGTATCCCAGCCTAGCTCCTCCAGTTTTCCACTTATCGTGCAGTAGGTGAACGGAAGCTCGTCTTGGTCATTTTTCTCGAGCAGGGTGCAAATTTCTGGATAAGAATGGCATAAATGTTACCAGTCCTCGGGGAATCAGCTCGTGGTAAACATCTTTCGCGAATCCCAGATGCAACAGAGGAGACACTTGTGGGGTTTAAGCCCAATATAACTTGTGTTGGTGGGTCTTCTCCTCAGGGTAGCCACAATGCACGACGAGTGTTAGGATCGTGGAGCACCCGCTCTCTATAGTGGTCCGGTAAAGGGAACTCGATCCGAAGTGGGCAGAGAAGGATAAGGAGAGGTTGACAACTGGATACCCTGGTGAACCGCCGCTTTCGGTCAGTACACGAGAGATCTATCGAGTTAGCAATTTCCTGTGAGCAAGAGCCTAGATGTTATAAGGGCTATGGGATGGGTACATCCTAGCCTCGTCGCGTGATCGCCGGTGCCAATCTCGTCTTCCACAGTCTGAAGGCCCTCGAGGCTTGTCTTTGAAGCCCGTGTCTCTTCCATCAAATGAGTGCATACGGGTGCGCTTCGTTACGCGCGTCCGTCAAAACTAGGTCACGCCGCAGCCATCGCATGTGCCGGGTCAGCCCGTGATACTTGACAGACGTATCGCAGTTGTCAGTGTTGCATACGGTTTGCGCTTGGCCACGGCAGTCAGCCAAAGAGAAGATGACACGAACAAATGTTAATCATGCCCTCCACCACAACAACCACTGGCACTAAGCGGTACTGTAATGGCTGCTTTGATAGTCCACAATTTGGCCCACGACAGGTCGAGGGCCAAGTCGTGGACTATGAAAGCAGCCAATGTTATCTCGAGACCTCAGTGGTTTGCGGCGCGCGTGAATTGGGCGGGTTCACCTACTTTCGACGGACGCGCACAACGGACGTTTTCCCCTGCATGCATATAGACATTGACACTCATTCTGAGGAGATCGCGCTGCTCCAGTTCCGAGTTGTTGTTCTTCCCTTGTTACTATGACCCTCTCCACCACTGCCGTATGTACATATGTATCAGTGCATTCACAGAAGTGAACAATGGAAAAAAGTTCTATACGTCTTCTTCACTGGGAATAAGGCACTCAGGGCTCTCTCTATCGGTTGGTGAAGAGGCTGGATGGCGGGTAGAAGAATAAATTGCGATGAAAAGTTACCGGAACTCGTCTAGACATGCAAGTGGATTGTTACCGGTACTTGTCTAGATATGCAAGTGGATTCAGGAGATGAACTCATGTTCCTGCTGTGTTGGGTCGATTCGGTAGTTCTGCTCCCCGCACGTGTATCCACGCACAAATGTGCGAAGTATGCAGGAGCGGTCAGTGAGTATCTTGCACAGTGGCTCAGAACAAGCTTGCATTGGAGTGATTGGTAAGTGACTGGGGGGCTCTCCGAAAAAATAAAATCCTTATCCGCCTGAGGTAGTCTGGCAAGCTGCTCATCACCTATATCACCTATCGTCCCATTGATCATCGATTTCTCCCTGTAACGTCTCCATTCGTTCCAGTTGCGAACCAGAGTATTCAGTGAATCGTACTCGCTCAAGGGACACGGGGCAATACACCCGTTCCTTGAGCTTTCGTGAAGAAGTCTGACCATCTACCCTCCTGGTAGGCGTTTGACGCCCGTATCCAGTCCGTAGGAATCCAGTCCGTAATTTCTTCAATCAAACGGACATCACTAAATCGCATGACGTGCACGGCCCATCTGATTTTCGATTTCCTGGCGTAAACAACGGCATCCCTGATATTCGTTCATCGACGGAGCTTGCAATTCCGGATTCCCTTCTGCACTTGCGTGTATAGGGAAATTCTGGGCATCGTCCTTTCCACAACGGTTGAATGACGCTAACTGCATGCCTATGCTGCTTTCGTAGAGTCCAAGTCTCCGAGGCGTATGCAAGATCAGGAAGTGCCGCTATATCGAAAAGGTGGGCGCGGAGTCAGATGTTCCTTGTCTACTTCGTACTCCCTCGACGTGCTCCCCACGTGCGTTTCCTTCTGCGCAGCTCCGGAGCTAGGTCGTTTATCATGTTGACTTTCCGACCTAGATACACATAGCTAGAGCATTCAGAGGTATTCATTCCATTCAGCATGGAAAGAGCACCAGGTACCAATCCGTTTCGCATGAGCATCTTCTTCGTTAGCTTCAGTCGTAGCCTGGTCTTTCCACAGGCGTTGTCGAATTCGACCAGCCTTTGTTCCGCCTGTTCGATGTTGAGTTTTATAAGCACGATGTCATCTGCAAAGCGGAGTGAAGTAAATAGCAGCCGTCGACCTCCGCGCGCATGCTTTCCAATTCCATATGACGCATGACGTTCTCGAGAGCGACACTGAAAAGTTTGGGCAAAATGGTATCGCCCTGTCGAACCCCTCCCTTCACGTTGATGATGACCTCATTGTAGAATGACGAGATCCTGGTCGTGAAGCTGCTGTAGAGCTCACGAAGCATCCTTGCATATTGAATGGGAACACCCTAAATGCCCAGAATCGATTACCGTTTCTGTCTCGACGGTATCAAAGGCGTCCTCAAACCGATGAAATTAAGACATTTTGTACTCTCGCGATACTTCAATGAGCATTGTAACGTGGTGGATGTGGTCGATTGTACTTAACTCTCTTCGGAACCCTGCTTCCTCGCATGGCTGTCCTTCATCTAATATTCCGCCAATCCTGTTAAGGATGGCATGTGTGAAAAGTTTATAGATCACAAATAGCACGCAAATTGGGCGATAATTGACAATGTCGTCTGGATCTCTCTTCTTATACAACAACGCGGTCTTGCTAGTTTTCTACGATGTGGGCCCTTTGTATTCCGACAGGTACCGCGTGAAAAGCCGGGCCAGGACCTTGGGAATGACTGGTGGGAGGCTCTTCAGATGTTCTGCTTTGATCCTGTTGGGACCGGCACTGTACCATTCCTCATCGACGTGATGGCATGTCGAATTGTGGAGGGAGAACTGAAAGGACGACGTATCCGCCTTGCCTAACATAGTAGATAGGCAGGTAGAGGTGGCTATCGAAGAGGTCAGAGTAGAGGTCGTGGATGACCTTCTCCATTGCCCTTCGGGATGCAGAATAGTTCNTCAGGACGACGAAGCCAAGGCTTTCGGTCTTATAATCGACGAAGCTCCGGCGAGCTCTGCGAATGCTCTTCCCAGCCTCAACAGCTTCAGTCAAAACTGCGGTTCTTCTCTTTTTACATCTTCCTTTATCGCTTCTCTGCATAGCACGTTCAGACGTTAGGTAGTTATTGCCTGCAGCTCGCACGATCCCACGCTGGCGTATCAGCTCAAGAGTCTCCGAAGAAAGACGTTTCTTGGCACCTCTGAGACTCTGCTTTCCTGGCACTAACGTTTTATCGTGAAAATGTTCAACGAGCCGGTCGTATTCTTCATCGACGTCGCTAACCTTTGACAGGCAATTCACTTGGTCGTGAAGTACAAAACATTTTCGAGACGCCTTTTGAATGTTGCTAAAGAACCAGGTTCTGTCTAAACGTTTAAGTTGATCTCTGAAAAATAAGTTTGTTTACTTTGTAGGTGGGAGAGTATAATAGATAAACAAGAGTAATATGTTCCAGTATAAGTACGCATTTATAGGTTGATCGGTACGCCAGAGATCGCTTGCTTGGTATCGACTGTGACGAAGATCCATGTCACACTGCTGTGCTTTTTTGCACTGTTTGCGAAAGTCATCTTTGCGAGAGGTGAACCTTCAAACTGTAAGAATATGTATTATAAATTTCTTCGTCCATCACATAAATGGTTCCTTGTACCCTCTCGTTGCCAAACTGGTACCACTGATTACTGAGATTTGGAGTTTCTCGAAAGTTCGGAGATTCAGTCGGCGAGCAAGCAAGCTTGCTAGTCGTTGGAATTTAACAGTTGTACATCATTCACAAGAACTGCCTCAAAATTTTGCCTTTTCTAAAATTTTCCGAAGAAATGGTCCGAAATTCATAGGCCGACCTAAAATACACTATATTTGTCCCAAGGATTCATTATTGGTAGTCATCTGTTTCTGAAGGATCACTGTTAGATCATGAGTGGCAAATTAATGATCCCACATACAGCAGTAAGAGAAGCATGGAGAAGCGTAGCATGACGCGTAGTGCTCTTCCTTTCTCTTTGGCATTGTGCTGCGCTGGCAGAACCGAGTTGTAAAAGATGATACTCGGCCCTTCGATAAAAGGTAATCTCTTACAAAAGTTCGCAAGTTTTTTTTTNTTTTTTTTTGAATGAAATGAGAAGCAAAGCTGATATTCTAGTGGTAAAGCAGGTATACGCCACTTTTGCCAGCGACCCATTCTCAGCATCCAGGTAGCATCTAGCCACGAAGCAGCTTCTCGCCAATAAGTATGGATAATTAGTAGTCGACCAGTGTCCCACACTGATGGTTCGAGCTGATACGGCGGTCGAATTTCGTGTTTGATATCTTTCTTTCAAAAAACTGCAGCTGCGTAATGCTTAACAGGGTGATAAACGGTAGTCATCTTAGAGGTCTTTCCAAGAGTAGTGTCGCCAAAACATAACGCCCCGAAATTCTATAGTCATGATGTGTGTCCGCCTCGACCACCACTTCTGAACGAGTTATTCGTGAGGCGTCATCATCTGCATCCAAACCCGATGATTGTCACTTCTGAGCTTAGCGTGTGAAATGAAGTAAAACGGAAAAGATTTATACAATTATCGACGTTTTCCTCGGTATTTCCCTAACTCTTTAACAGAGAATGCTTCGGGCCACTTTCGAGCCATTGAGGGCCTTGTCTCGTTCTGCGCGACACTTTAACCTTTGATAACCTTCTACTCTATTTGCTGCCCCTGTAACCATTGATAAAGCTGTACACTTTTTGCCACCCCTGTGACCCTTGATAATCCTACACACTATTTCTGACCGCTGTAACCTCTGATAACCCTGTAGACTATTTCTCACCGCCTTGACCTTTGATAACCCCATTGTTTGTCACTCCGTACCGGCTGGGTATAGATACCCATTGCATCGCTAATACGAGGCTTCTTATGTTTTGCCTAACAAAGCTTTCACATAGCCGCCATGTACAAGCCACACACACCACCCAAAAAAAGGGTAAAAACATCAGCGATCAACCAATAAGACTAGCTTGTTCCCACACATTCGTCAGTCTTCGACATTTCAGCATTTGTCCTAATGGGAACAAATACTAAAATGTCGGAAGACTTGGTAAAGAGATGCGGACGAATCATGGTTTTGGGGTGTTAAAAATGGTCCGTTTCTCAACGATTTATAACACGCAACGAAAAGCGGACCCTCTGCGACAATCGGCGGGCTTAGTGGTTGAACTTTGTGAAACCTCCACAACACTTTTCAAAACTAAATTCATATGAAAAAAGTTTATAGTAAATATTTGACCTGCAGCAGATGCAGTTCAATGTTTCACCTGCAGCAGGTCTGATTCACTATAGCTTCCCGTATACGAGCGAGGTGCAGCCACGAGTTAGCGTATGTGCCCTGCATTGGTCAACCGCTAGGAGTTAATCCTGCTTCACTCTAACGGATTCGGCCACGAAACTGCCTCAACACCATACTCCTTGGACCGCTTGCTAACAACTATCACTTTTTCGGGCATCTTGACAATTTACTTCACAAAAACGCTTCGAGAATTGAATAGGTTCGGAAACGACTTTCATTTTGCAAGAAAGGGATGAGTTTTGTTCCTGTTCTTAGTGTTGACAGAATTGTATTGGTTCAAATTATTTTAATTCTCGAACAATATTTTGTTGGAGATATGCTACGTTGAGATATGCTTATTTGAAAGCGAAGCCTGAAAACCGTAGACAGTTGAAAAAGTAATAGTTTTTAAGAGTCAAAGCTTGATTGATATCTGTTGAAGCTATCTTGAATCAACAGCTTACAGGTGTTCCAACAGTTCGCACGATACAAACGTTCTCTCAAAACATCGACGGATTCCTCTCAGTGAGAAACCAGCCTCAACAGCCAACTGCCGAATACACACTTCTTACCCGGTAGAATTTGTATGTAAGGTTAGCTTTGTGTTGCTTTGAATCCTACGTTTGACCGCTTAAAGTTTAAAGTCCGAAAAGAGTTCTCTGCTGACAAAGTTACAGCCTCAATGTTTTAAGCAAAGGTAATGTAGGAGTGTATCAGTGGCTTTGAGTGTTAAATTTAGTTGGGTAATGCACCGTTATGATATGACAGGGTGAAGGGGGTGGTTCACGAAAACAAGCGAAGAGTGTATACGGGCAAGTTGCTTTTCAACTACATCACCTGAAGGGGAGAGTGCGATTTTGTAAGACAATAAAACTGAAGTTTCCAGTCAGGCCCCAGTAAGAGAGACAGCCTCAACCCCATAGGTGAGGAGATAATCTGTATCTGTTATCGTCTCTTCTATAATCGGTTTGCTCGAGCAGACACCGTATCATTTCTATTCTTCCCTGTCGCCAGCCAACGTAGCCCAGTGAATCTCCTCGCTCTAGACACTGTGCAAGCCATTCCTTTCATTCAGTATTCGTGTGTCTGACTGTTTGAGGGTTTCTGTGAGGAAGTCCAACCTTTGGGTTGAAGGTTACTCTGCGTTCGTTTGAGATCGCGAGCAATCCAGTTAGTTCCCTTCAGATCCACAATCGTTACATGATCACATGACTTTCCGGCCCATTGCATGTTCGATTCCCCAGCGTCCTCCATCTTTGTTAGTTGACTGAGCTCCAATCCAGATTATCTAACTGGTCGCCCTTGCAAAGCAAAACCGATCAAAAGAGAACTTTAGAGCACTGTTGCTCTACATCACCACTTGTTTTTTTTTGAATCCACGCTCGTACCATAGCTTCCAGTCAACGCGTGCAAAATATGCTCAGCCCTAGCCACTTTCAGGAGGAAAGCTGCAGTAAGGAAAACACCTTGATGTGCGTCTTCTGCAGAGATTATGGAATGCACAAGGTAAGCGGTCAATTGTGAAATAACTGCAAAATGCTATAGTTGTATTTTCATTGAAATTTATCAGCATGAGTTTGACTAGTGACGTGGTTTGCAAACTTGACTTAACTTCGCCGAGATTCGAGTACTACAACTTTTTTCGGTTCAACCTTATAAATTTCAGTTGATGATAAGCAGCTTAGAAGAAGTGTCGTCCCCTATCCAGATAGATCACCAGTCACCAGAAAAAGAAGGGGTCACCAGAAAAGTGAATGATTTTGTCTATGTATGTATATATGTATGTATACATGTATGTATGTATATATGTATGTATACATGTATGTATGTATATATGTATGTATACATGTATGTATGTATGTATGTATACATGTATGTATGTATACATGTATGTATGTATACATGTATGTATGTATACATGTATGTATGTATACATGTATGTATGTATACATGTATGTATGTATGTATGTATACATGTATGTAT